TAAATTCTCTACCCTCTGTCAAAGAGAGTCTAGTTCTGACCGTTGGCAGTGTTGAGATGAGTCGCATTTTACAACAGTGCCAATTTGAAACAAGTGTACTGTGCGAAGTTCTGTGAGGTACTCTCACCAAATACGTCACAGTCCATCAACTAACCTCAAGTTCTTTCCCAGTCTTTTTGGAGTCCGTCGTATCACTTGCGCCCTTCACATTGAAACCGGGTAACGACGCTTTTGTCTGAGAAGCAGGAGTAGTAACTTGTGTGGTCGACAAACTAAAGTAACACAGACAGTAACACAGCCATAATTCATAACATAAGTATATTTTCTTACCTTTCATTGAAACTTTGAATTTTCATTGAATTTTTCAAATCAACGATGCACTTTTGCAATTTTGAACATTCGTTTCTAAGAGCCAAAGTATTCGTAACTGTTACTGAGCAACATAAGAAGAATAAGGCTCCCAGCTGACGAAACATTCGGTCTGGCATACGACTGACAAAGAATAATGTAATGACTCAAGAATGAAACTGCGACCGATTCGCGGGCATATACGACATGGTGAATGATAGAGCGTAATAAACCTTGGATATCCACGTGGATACACGTGAACCTCATGATCAGACAAACCTAGATACACTGTAATGAACAGTTTTCATGACCGTCATTCTGTTTGGATATGTGGCCAAGCAGCTCGATGAAATTTTTCCAATTGTCCTGGTACTCTGGAAAATCTGTGGACTCGATTACGAGGCAAACAAGGCCAGACACTCAAACTACTCAAGTCATAGAAGGTCCTCGGTTTGTTTCTTGTCAAAATTCCATTCGGCCTTGCCAAGAGAATCCACATTGAGAATTCCCATCTGATATGCTGATCACTAGATCAAGAGGAGTTACCTTGTTTGAAGCTTTTAAAATGGAGTTTTGAAACTCTACAGATTAATCATGTCACTGGCTCATTTCAAGATGCATTTCAACGTGTTATTCATATTTCTAGCTATTAACTTAATATCTTACCAAGTGTCTAGCTTTTTCTTGCGCTATGGGCAGCGGTTTCAAAAGACCCTTCCAACGGTTGAGGTCCTTAAGAGCTTTGGTAAGGTTCATGGGCTACATTCCTAGACACTGGGATGCCATATTTTCTTTATAATTAAACAATCCGGTTTATTTTCTGAGAGTAAGTTGGCCTCCATGCAAATTTGCTAAATGAAATCCAACAGTAAACAAAACATATCGTTGGAAAAGATTTTAAAGCCTCAACTGTTATGCATAAGCGGCAGCAATGCAAAAAAAGTCTCTACAGTTGCAGAAACTGTCTGTTAGGGCGACCAATGAGGTCAGCATAGAACATGAAAAGGATCTCAGATAATCTACATGTAGCTGCAATAGCCAACGGAGCATTATTTTTCGAAAAAAATCAAAAAATCCAAATGAACAGATGTACTTTTTATCCGTCAGCCCTTTCTCCAAACGTTGAATTCGTGCATTCAGTTCCTCTATCGTTTTCCCACCTTTTAAAAGAAAGAATGAATATTTGCTTTCAAATTCAAAAATTTTTAATCAATAATAATTTATATGTTTTGTGCTGCATTATGGCAAGCGAACATAAAAAACGAATGGCTGCTCTTTAACCAGATTACACGGAGTGCTGCATTGCTTCCATGTTCTTATTTGAGTAGGGCCACCATTTACGAAGGCCATTGATCCCTGATATTTGAGCATCTGCAGCGTTAAGCTTATGTCATCATTTTATCCGCTGGAGCCAGCTCTTCGTGGACAATACTTCAAGAGTTCACAGTCCATATGTGTTACCACATAAGCATCATAAACTGTTCGTATGATCAAGCATGTTAAATAATGAATAGCTTCTCCAGGAACATATAAATAGCATATGCTGTTTATGAAGAAACATATGAGGAGCATTAGCTACTGAGACATCGCCCATGTTTGGCGCGAGGTGACCTGAATAAATGACCCCAGTACCCTATAAGCAACTGGGAGCAAGGAATCGGCGCAATTCGCCGTGATGTCTGGTCTTGGAGGAGTCATTTGATCTTGACCTACTCCGGCGTACGAACAGCTTATGATGTTCAGGTGAAAAGAGAACATCAGAGTCGTAATAGAAGATTTTCATGTCAATGTAGTTTCCAACTCATTCGCCCTCATCGATACCAAAATAATGCTTATATAAGTAATCTGTAGGCCATAATACTTGGTCGTAGCATTCACCCTGCTTGAGGCCCTGCAGATGCTTCCTCAGGACTTCTCCATCGAATATTGCTTTACTCAAGTGGGGCCTTAGAATCGGCAGATTTCATTGTATCAGCAAAATATCGAGACTTTTAATTCATTCCTGTTTCTTGAAATCAGGCCAGTCATGTTCCTTCTAGAACCAAATAATTTTTTTAACAAAACCGGCCAAACATTAATTTAGATTTCATCGATAAAGTATCTCTGAGCGCCTGAAAGTCTGCGTGTTAAGATTAAAAGTTTCATGAAGTGCTATGAAAAATGCACTGATGACCATAACCAATGGTCTGAGAAACTTATCGGACGAACTCAGAGGCAAGCATCTGAATCGGCTTAATAAAACAGTCCAAAAAGGGAACACAGATATATTGAAAACCATTATCACTTCGGAATTTTACACCGGCTACAGCAAGGAAAATTGCCTCATATCAGTCTGAAGTACCATGTCTAATGGACAGGCTTCAAAAATTTGGGTGAGCCTGCTTTTCACGTTTGTCAGTCTCAGATGACGGGGGTAAAACAGCACCAACAAGGGAAAAGCTCTTTCCCCAGCACCTGTACGTTTCTATTTTCTGAACCGATTTTTGAAAAGCATGAAAACAGAGATCGATAGACGTAATGTTGAGTTACGCCTGAGTTCCATGGCTGCCGTTTACCTTGTCTGACTGATAGCTGACCGAAGACTACTAAAGCATCGATCCAGTAAACCAAAAATTAATAT